GTAAAAATTCAATTGCACATAGGTTCAGAGCCCTTGGCACTTTTACTGTCTCATTGTTCCTCCTATTTTATGATATACTCTTTAAAAAAGAAAGATAAACCCTAAACATTTTTGCTTTTCAAGTCTCTTTAGTTCAATAGAGTGGGTTTTATTTTAGTTATTTGAGGGGCTGCTGTGAATTAACCCCAGGGCTATGTATATGCCAAGCACAGTCTGCCACTAAACTATACCCCTCAACCCCTGAGAGGGGATTTTTTAAAAGTACATTTAGTGTTTTGTTTTCCTAGTAGCAGTGAAGTTTGAATAGGAATCTAAAGCAGGGATGGCTTCTTTAGCAGTAAAGGACTGCTTTGTGTCTGAGAGACGCTGTGTCTGTCTTTAGGTTTTTAGGTCTCCCATGGATTGCCTGGATGAAGTGTGGGCTGGTATTGGAATAGTGTGGCATCACTTGTTGGCCAGGCAAATAGAGCAGAAAACAGCAGTGAGCTGAGTGGTCACGAGAGAGAACTAGAAGGAAATAAGAAAGCTAGAACAATGCTTTTAGGTAGCGCTGTGATGATAGACAGACAAACCTATCGCATGTCCTTACATTGCCTTCTAGCTCCAAAAAGAACTTTCCACAAACTGTCTAACATAGCAGCTCTATATCCTACATCTGGAGGCAGAGATGACACCTCTGACCCAATTCAGCATTGTTTTTGTCTAATTGTGTGTGTGTGTGTGTGTGCATACATGCATGCATGCCAGTCCTGGGTCTTCAACTCGGGGCCTAAGCTCTGTCTCTGAGCCTTTTTTTTTTGCTCAAAACTAGAATTCTACTCTTTGAGCCACAACACCATTTACAGCTTTTTTCTGAGTAGGTTATTAGACATAAGGGTCTCAAGCACTGTTCTGCCTGGGTTGGCTTCAAACTGTGATCCTCGGATCTCAGCCCCATGAGTAGCTAGAATTACAGGTATGAACTCTCAGCTTGTTTGTTTTTGTACTGGTACTGGGACTTCAACTCAGGGCTTAAGTGTTGTCCCTTTAACATTTTTTTGTGTGTGCAAGTCTGGTGCTCTACCACATGATCCATGCCTCCACTTTGTTGGGGAGATAAGAATCTCTTGGATTTTTCTGCCTAGGCTAGCTTCAAACCACAGTCCTCAGATCTCAATCTCCTGAGTAGCTAAGATTATAGATGTGAGCCACTGGTAAGGTACCCTGCTAATTCAGTAATTTTTAATCAGGAAAAGATTTTCGTGTGGTTTCTACAATTTAGTAGAAATTGCTAGTAAAAATGTGTAATCGTGTAAGCGTGCCCACTTCTTCAATGTCCCAGGCTTTCCTTTCACTGAGCTTTTAATTAGATAACTGTATGACTCATTGGTTGGCTTTTAGGAAATTAAAGCTGAGCAAGCAGGATAATTGGAAATGGTAATGAGGCTTTGGCCTTGTGCATACAGGGGATAGCTGACCAACAACTGGCAGGTTGACTGTAGTGTGTGGTGTTCGATGACTGGAGCTATGAGTTAGCTTAGCTGATGACTCACTGAAACAGGTGGATGGCTGCAGTGGCTGGTGGTTTTCTTTTACCATTATTTCAGAATTATAACTAGTCACCAATATGCTTGTCTCTTGAGATAGATTTTGAGGTGCTAGGGAACAAATTCAGTAGCATAGCCTCTATTTTTTTTTTTACAAACCTATCATGGATTTGGATTTAGTGAACATTAGTTCCCTAACTAAATAGGATTGTTACGCTATCATTTAAAACACTAGATTGTGGTTTGAGGCCAACCCCTGTAGAAAGTTCATGAGGCCCCTTCTCAACTCAACTAAATGCAGTGGTACACACCTGTCATCTGAACTACTGGAAAGGCTGAGGTTGGGGAGGGGGGAAATCACAGTTTCAGGATAGCCCTGGTAAGGAAGCAAGATTCTATCTTAAAAGTAACCATCAAAAGCTGGGTACTGGTGGGTTGTGCCTGTAATCCTAGCTACTCAGGAGGCTGTGGTCTGAGGATCATGGTTCAAAACCAGCCCAAGCAGGAAAGTCTCTGAGATACTTATCTCCAGTTAATCATCAAAAAGCTGGAAGTGGAGCTGTAGCTCAAGTGATAAAGCCTTGAATATAAAAGCTAAAGGACACTGCCCAGGCTCTGAGTTCAAGCTCCAATTTTGACCTACACACTCAGGTGTACTCATGTATGCACACACCAGCGCACACACAATCACACGCACACATATATGCATGCATGTGTGCAAAAATAACCAGCTGAAAAACAGTTGGAAACATGGCTTTGCAGTAGACTACCTGCCTAGCAAATGTGAGGACCACAAGTTCAAAGGCAATACTGGCTTTCCCTAAATGACCACCTTGACCATTTCCACTGTACTACACCTATTCCCCCCATCTTCCTCCAGAACCTTTCCATTACTCTAGTTGGAAACTACAGGAAGGATCTTGATTTCACACTTGACTATGACAGTTGTTGGGGTATGTGTGTGGCTTAGGTCCATGATGATAGGGAGTGGTCCCTCGTGAGGAGGTACTGGGGATGCCTGGATGTGGTTGGTTCAAAGAGAGCCTGGGAGGGGCAAAGCCAGCCCCTTCCTCAGGGAGGGCTGGGGGCTTTTATTCATGCAGTCATGAGACATTTTTCATTTACTTTCACAGGTCTTGGTTTTCCTTATCATCAACAGAACTTAGAGGAAAAGATTATCTTTGTTGTCAGCTTAAGATAAATTTCAAACCTCAACATGAGCTGGAGATGTAGCTCAAGTGGGTAGCATGCTTGCCTCGCAAATACAAGGCCATGGGTTCAGTCTCCAGTTCCACAATCAACAAACCTTAACATAACTAAATAGTGCAAATAAAGTCATGTTTTTTCTTTACCATAACATAATTTTCACACTATTCAGGCTATTTTATATAACAGTTTTGTGTGTGTGTGTGTGCACATGTGCGTGTGCGTATGTGCGCACGCCCGCTTATCCGGGGGCTTGAATTCAGGCCCTGGGTGCTATCCTTGAGCTTATTTATTCAAGGCTAGCACACTACCACTTGAGTCATAGTTCCACTTCTGGCTTTTCTGGTGGTTAATTGGAGATTAAATCTTTTGGACTTTCCTTTCCTATGCTGGCTTCAAACTGTGATCCTCAGATCTCAGCCTCCTTAATAGCTAGGATTACAGGCATGAGCCACCAGGGGCCAGTATGGTTGGGACTTTTATTTAAGAAATAGCAGTTTCTTAACACTTGGCATTTTAATGGTGGTGTGCAAGAATCTTGGGGCTCGTGTGTTTCTATGTCCTTGTTTATTAGAGGTCCACACAGCCTCATGTTCTTTGTAGCTAACAAAAATACCTTTGATTGATTTACTTCATTGTGAAAATGAGTTCAGTGTTTTCATATACAATAGTGTAACCCCATAGAGAAATACGATATTGTATGGATCTTAAACAAGTATATTTGTGGACTGAGTTTAGATCTAATAACAAAAACAATATGCCAAGCCAGGCATGGCCCAGGCCTATAAATTCTAACTTCTAGAATTTGCAAAAGCAAGAACAGGAGGGTTGTGTTTCCAGGCCAGTCTAGTCAGAAAAGCTCATGAGACTTCCTCTCAATCCATAGCTGGTCATGGTGGCATATGCTTGTCATCCTAGTTTTAATCCATGAAATTGGGAGGATCATGGTTCTGGTCAGCCTAGGCAGCAAAGTTTCCAAGATTTTGTTTCAGTGTAAGGGACTACACATGGTATCACCACACACTTGCCATCCTAACTATAGAGGGAGGCCTAAAATAATTGAATCACATGCATGCCTGGGCTGGAAGCAAACCTTATTTCTAAAATAACCAGTGCAGAAAAGGGTTGGAGATGTGGTTCAGTAGTGGAACATCTGCCTAGCAAACACAAGGTCCTGAGTTCAAACCTCAGTACTGCTTTAAAAAAAACTTTAAATCCCCTTAGTTTGGCTTTCATAACTCTGTATTATTTTATATCATTTATGTACTTTATGTGCTTGTATAATTTATATATTTTAGAGGCTAGCATATAGATCCATGGTAAAGTGCTTGCCTAACATTCAAGATAGGTTTGATTACTAGCACTGCACAAATACCTCTACATTCTAAAAAAGAAATATACTTTAAATATAATTATGTTTAGCAATTAGTCCTTGATTTTCTTTTCCATTGGAGCATATCCATAAAAATAGAAAAGGTGATTATTGTATTCAGTATTTATCTTCAAGATCAAGTATTTTGCTTAGTGCCTAATTGGTATTTACTAAATGTTTATTCTTTGTTTTCCCATTTATGAAAGGGAAGTGGGCATTAGGGACTGTGGTTTTCCCATATCATGTTTACTATCTTTTTTGTTTTTGCCAGCCCTGGGGCTTGAATTCAGGGTCTGAGCACTGTACCTGGTCCTCTTTGTGCTCAAAAGTAATGCTCTACCACTTGAGCCACAGCAGCACTTCTGGCTTTTTCTGAGTAGTTTATTAGACTTCAGAGTCTCACACACTTTCCTGCCTGGGCTGGCTTTGAACCATAATCCTCGGATCTCAGCCTCTTGAGTAACTAGGATTACAGGCATGAGCCATTGGTGCCTGGCTCATGTTTACTGTCTTATGAAAATATTAAATTTATTTCTATTGCTTTTAAATCATTATCCATAAGGGTTTCAATCAACATGTCAGTTTATGAGTACAATGCATCTTGATTGGTGTCACTCCTTCTATCATTCTTCCTTGACTATCTTAAAGGAGAATATAGTCCCTAGAAAGTCTAGGCTGAAACAATCAGAGGTGTCATAGGTAAGCTAAATTACTTAGTTGGAAATAAAATGATATTTAACTGTAACTACCCATAAGGCTATGCTGACCTTAAGTACATCAAAAGAACAACGGTGGTAATGGATTCATAGTAATTATGGGAAAAACCAATGACTCCATAATGTAGATTCAACTGCTCCAGCCTTTCTAACTTTCTTTCTTTCTTTTTTTTTTAATAGAAAAAATCAGGCAAAGATATGCAGACTTGCCAGGAGAGTTGCACATTATCGAACTTGAAAAGGATAAGAATGGACTTGGCCTCAGCCTCGCTGGTAATAAAGACCGATCTCGCATGAGCATCTTTGTGGTAGGAATTAACCCGGAAGGACCAGCAGCGACAGATGGACGGATGCGTGTTGGAGATGAGCTTTTAGAGGTGAACTTCTCTTATGGTGAAATACTGCGGGTGTGAGGAATATACAGGAAAACGAGATGAAGGGGCAGGATTTTAACGCATTGCCTTCAATGATTTAAAATCATTTTTCAAAGCAAGGAGAGAAAGCAGATTATTGGTTACCACTGTTATTTGCTTGAATAAAGATGAATCTCATGAGGTATTTGAAGAGCCTTTAAGTACAATCTTGTGGAAGCCTACCAAAAGCAATAGGGCTAGTTTTTAATATTGACTCAAAGAGATTTAAAGCTGATTGTATATTAACCTAATGTTGCTAATGTATGTTTAAATTCTTTTTGGGGCTGGAATTAACTGTTTTGTTTTTATTTTGCAAGTACATTAGAGCCAACAATAGACTGTAGATTTGTTACTAAGAGATAGTTTGGGGTAGGTTAGGTGATACATGCCAGGTGGACTGGAATTCTGTACCAGCTCAGGCTAAAAGTTAGCAATGTCAGGCTTGTCAGATTCCAGAACCCAGTCTCTACTCACTAATGTATATTCTGGGGGGGGGGTAGTAATCAAACTCAGGCCTTGTACATACTAGGCAAATGCTCTATTACTGTATTATATCTCTGGACCCTATTGCTTAGTCTATTTTCTGCTACCATTAACACAATACCTTACAACAAGTTATAAAGATTTATTCTGACCTGCCATTCTGGTCCAAGATAGAGAGGCCACATTTGGTGGGGTCTTTTTATTGGCCGTATACTTAGGTGGTACAAGATATCTCATGGCAGGGCTGGGAAGGTGGCTCAGTGGTAGAGTGCTTGCCTTGCATGCATGAGGCCCTGAGTTCGATTCCTCAGCACCACATAAGCAGAAAAAGCTGGAAATGGTGCTGTGGCTCAAGTGGTAGAGCGCTAGTCTTGAGCTGAAGAACTCAGGGACAGCACCCAGGCCCAGACTTCAAGACCCATGACTGACAAAATAAATAAATGATAAGGAAGAAATGTCATGGTGAGAAATAGGGAGGACTTGAGAGACTTGCCAGTCTGACTACTCCTGCCATCACTGTTATGCAATGTGTTGCATAACGGATTAATCCGTTTGTGAGCTCAGAGCTCTAATTGTCTGCTGAAGGTATCATATGGGTCCACCTCATAATATCTCATAAGGGGGATTAAATTTCAACATGAGTTTGAGAGGAGACAAACCATGTCAGTTATTGTACCCCATGTGTTTGGATCCTGATCTTCCTGGTCTATGATGCTCTCATCTGTAGGGTAAGAATCATGCATATCAAGTCACTATATGTGCTATGCATAACTACACACAGACTTCCTGTCCCTTGTGGTATATGGAAACACCCTACAGGCTATCATTTAGAGCGTGAAGATTCTATTTCTATTCTTATTAGGACTCAGAATGGAATGTCAGATGGGATCCAGGTGACAGCAACACTGACATTTTATTTCTGTGCCTGACATCTTATTAGATACCAGTAACAGATAAGCTGTAGCGGCAGGCCTGTGTGAGTGTTGTACAGGCTGCTCTGCGCAGGGCCATGAGCGCTGGACTTGGAAGACTTCCTTTAACTTTTCCAACTCTCTGGTGTTTCCAAAGGGGCTTAGCATAGTGCATGCATAAGAGAGACACAGATTTTCTTCTCTCATACGGTCAGCACAGACAGCATGCATGTTTTCCCCCACAGTATAAGCAAGTTCTCTGGTGGACACCAACTGTGGGTGTCTTATAATTCATTTTGACCAGATCTCTGAGCTTCTGCCTGACCAGTCACTGTAGGTTGGGTTTGATTCATTTGCTAGAGCAACTCAGAACTCAGGGGAACACTATACTCAACATTTGTACGCTTATGATATCAGACGGTATGAGGATAGAAATGGAACAATGGAAACACCTCAATGGAAAATATTCACAGGACATGGTATGGGAAGTCAGGTGGGGTCGACCTCCCTCTCTGGGAACACCACCCTCTGGGTACTCTCACTGTTCCGCAACACACTGGCTCTCCCAACACTCTACTTGAGGGATTTGTTTGGTTTCTGAGATAAGGCCTTGTGATTGTGCCTAAGCAGATAACAAACTCCTAGAATTGAGTGATCATCCTACCAAAGCATCCATCCCAAGTGCTGGGACCACAGTCATGCATGACCACGCCTGGTTTAGTTAAGGGGATTTGTGGAGCGTTGATCACACAGACATTAATGACTCATTAATTCAATCCCTCTAATCTTTATTCTCCCTAGAGGATTGGGGTGTGAGGGGACCAAAGTTTAAAGCTTTGAATTATGACTTGGTCTTTCTGACGAGCAGCTCTATCCAGAAACCCACTAAGAATTACTTCATTAGAGCTGGGAATATAGCTTAGTGGTACTTGGCTATCATGCCCTAGGTTCCATCCCCAGCAGCTGGGATGAGGGCATGTGGGAGAAGCTGACTTGTTAGAACAAAGTCAGTAATGGGAGTCAAAGACCAAACATGAGAACAAAAGATGCACCTAGCATCCCTGTTGCTCAAGAGATTACAAGGCATTAGCTTTGTGTGTTGAGGCCAGAGACGTGTGTGTGTGTGTGTGTGTGTGTGTGTGTGTGTGTGTGTGTGTGTGTGTTCCTATGACAGTATCAAAGCATGGCAAATAATAACTTTTAATGAAGTCCCATTTCCTCCTTCACATATGGAAACTGTATACCAGTTCTATATACCAGGCTGAGGTCTAGAAAAGGATCCTGACTAGGAACGTTACCATAGCTGGGCATTGGTAGCTCATACTTGGAATCCTAGCTACTCAGGAGGCTGAGATTTGAGGATCATGATTTGGAGCCAGCCCAGGCAGGAAAGTCTGGAGACCCTTGTCTCCAATTAACCACCAAAAAGCTGAAAGTAGAGCTGTGGATCAAGTGGTAAAACACTAGCTTTGAGCAAAAATGCTCAGGGACAGTGTCCAGGCCCTGAGCTCAAGCTCCAAGACCAACACCAAACAACAATGACAAAAATGCCCACATTATACCTGGCTGGACTCTCTTCTTTCCTATCCCCTTCTGAATTTGGTCCATTTATTTATTTATTGTTTATTTTTTTGTATTTATTATTTTTGGAAATCTTTCTTTTTTCCAATTTAAAAAGTGGTTATGATAAAGGTGATATCAGAGGGGTTACAGTTACATGTCAAGTAATGAGTACATTTCTTTTTGGACAATGTCATTCCTTCCCTCCCTCTCTCCCAGGTTTTCCCTCCCGTCCCTACCCCTAAGTTGTATAGTTCGTTTTTAACATAGTGTGTAATGAGTGCCACTGCTGAATTTGTTCAACTTTTTGTCCCTCTATTTCTGTGTGTATTTATTATTTACAAATATAGTTTATTATCTTTTGTTATACAGGAGGGTTGCCATTCAACAAAGCAGTTTATAAATACAGTGCATCTTGGGGCTGGGAAGGTGGCTCAGTGGTAAAGCGCTTGCCTTGCATGCATGAGGCCCTGGGTTCGATTCCTCAGCACCACATAAGCAAAAAGAAAAAAGGCGGAAGTGGTGCTGTGGCTCAAGTGGTACAACGCTAGCCTTGAGCTGAAGAGCTGAGGGACAGCTCCCAGGCTCTGAGTTCAGGCCCATGACCGGACCCAAAATAAATACAGTGTATCTTGATCACCCCTTTCATCATTCTTCCCCATTCCTCCCTTATTTTTTTTAATTTTTTTAATTGCAGGCTATGCATTGGATTTTATTACTGCATACCCCTCCTTCCTCTCTTTTACTACTTCTCTTGATCCTTTTATTGCATTTCACAATTTCATCTTCATTCAGAGATGCAAAGGGCAAGAAGATTAAGCATAATAATAAGTGAATTCTACTTTTCTGTCCCCCAACATCCTCTAGTTTCAAAATGCAACAAATAAAAAATATGTTGGAACACGTATTAGTCATGTATCACTTCTCACAACCTCAACTAACAGCCTTTTCCAAGGAGTTATTATGCAAATAATCCTCAGCCTTTGTCCTATGGGAGGGACTCTGTGGACCAGGTGTTGATTCTCCATACCTGGTATTGTCCTCACAGGGCTTTTAGTTCAGCCACTGGATAGATAGCATCAACCTCATGGGTGTGTGAATTAAGAAGAGAAATTTTACCCCAGCCCTTGGCACATAGTAATAACTGAATTCATTTTAGTTGATGGTATCTATAAGATAACATTTTTGTATCTGAACATGGTAGCATATGCCTATAATCCCAGAGCTTGGGGGGTAGAAATTGAAAGATCATGAATTTGGGGTCAGGTTGGTCTACATAATAAATTCTAGGCCCACTTGAACCACATAGCCAACAAAAAGAAAAGTGGTTGTGGATTTGTGTGATTCAGTTCATTTGGAATTATTTATAACTAATACTTTGATGTCGAAAAACATACGTTAGAGAAAAATCATCTTATTCTTTTGTAGCTCTGTATAGCATCTTGAAAAAATTTGTTTTCATGGGCATACCAGATTCTTAAGCAATTGTAACTCAACTTCTCATGTGACCATTTTGGCTTTAAGTCTAGAGTGAGAGTGGGAATAAGTTTATGTAGAAAATGTTTCTCTGGTTTCTTTTTATAGCTCAGAAAAAGAAGTTGAGTCATTTATCTTTGTTATGTGGACTGGTATGTAGTATTATATCAAATCCAATGTTCTTGTTAGCCAAGAACAGGAAATCAGTGTTGTGGTGAGGGCCAGGAAAGCTAAAAGCCAGCATCACTGAGCTGATCTTGGACTCTGCGGTGCCTTGGAGGAAGCATTTGCAAGTGAGCTTTTAGGTTCCACTTGCTGGGCTCCAGGTATAACAAATCACGTGTATTTGGTGGCCCGCTCACAATGTGTTTGTTTTATATATCTGAAGTATCTCTGTGTCTTGATTATTTTCATTGAACCTATCACTTGCTTATTTCTCTTATTCCATTGTTCACAACCTCCTTTTATTTCCTTTGTATCTTATTTCTTTAAGACCCTAACGTGAGGCTAAGAAGTAGGAGAATTGTGGTCAGA